TTCTATTCTATTCTATTCTATTCTATTCTATTCTATTCTATTCTATTCTATTCTATTCTATTCTATTCTATTCTATCTGGATTAAGCCCTCATCTTTTTCCTGATCCAGAATGCAGTGGGAAAAATACATAATCTTTCTAATGTATTCTAATTGAGAAATATGGTTGGAAGACATGGACCGGAGCATCTCAATATAGGTGCTTATACATCAATCCATAATGAGATCCTTTTTTCTAAGAGGAAAAAAAAAGGGGAGGGGAGTCCTCATTTTTATATAAGCTATGTATCCCCTTCTTGATGAACACTGTGAATAATTTTACTTGTCTTCCCACTGGCCCTCCAATTTTAGAATTTTTTAAAATTGCACTTCCCTGTGAATAGGTAATCACAGTGGGGTTAAAATTGTGGCCAAGCTCTGTACTTTCTGAATTTGAAGAGAGGTGTTGATATTTCTGATAAATAAGATAAAATAGCTACAGTATGTTCAAATGCAATGTCTAAAATATATGTTTATTTGTGCCTGTAGGGTCACAAGAATATTGAGCAATGCTTAACACTGATTGGACTAGGATAGCTCTCAGCCTGTATGATCTATTTGTTTACTTCAAGAGTCATCAACAAGAGTCTGATGCAAAAGACTTATATATAGAATAATTCTGGCTAACAACTGAGTATCAGGAATGAGTAGAAGTTACAGTCCTTCCACACTCTTTCTGAGTCTAGAAACAGGATTGCCAGGAATGTTGAGGAAAGTAGCCTTGGAACAGAAAAGAGAAAGGGTCATTTCTGTATTTTGGATAATGACAAAAAATCTCAGAAATAGTATGTTTCATATAATTGTTTTTTGTCCTGATGCACTTATGAAATATGCTGATTGTGGGCAAGTGGCATAAATTGCTACGCTTGCAAGTTTGCATTTTAAAGTAAGTAATGGCCTGCTTTTTTAAGGTTCTGTCTCCAGATAACCTCACAAGGGGTTGAGCTTCAGGCACCTCAACTGGACCTGTCCAGGCAAGTCCAACTCTGAGCAAATCTGAGGGATTTTATCTGCAGATAGCAAGTGTATTCCTCACAGCAGCCCTGGAGATGGTCCTATGGCACATCCCTCCCCAGCAGGGACCAGGTCTCCTTAAACAGGGCTGCTGGTTGTCTGTCAGCAGATGTAATAAATGGAGGAATAGCAATGTTTCACTGCTCTTATTGCCACAATGTAATCCCTAATATGGGTTTTTACTTGTGCTCGGGCAGATTCACTCTTTGACTTCCTTCGGTGGCTCTCCAGGCATCTCTTCTTGTGCTTCATCTCCCGGAGTTCCTCAAATAAGGTGCACCTTGGGATCAGCACAGGGGGAGAGGCTGCACAGGGGAAATCAGGTTAAAGCTTCTTCCACCTGCCCATTCCAGGCTTCAGCTGAATTTCCCACCAGACTCTTGGGGGAAAACCCCAACCTCCCTCTGGAACCCAGCTGGGTTCATCAATTGCCTGGAGTGGGCTGATCCAACAGGCTGTACCAACAGCTACATCATGCAAGAAAGCAGGACCAAATGGTGGGTAGTGTCAGGATTTCTGGGAACAAACTGGCGGAGATTTCCGCCTGCCTCATACCTGGTATGGGCACAACCAGACAGCCCAGCCCTTCTCTGATGCTACGTAATGGCAGTGATAGTATCAGCCTTTCTGCTGCTACACCAGCCTTCCCTAACCCAGTGCCTTCCTGATTTGTTAAAAATGTAACTTCCAGTATTCCCAGTAAACTGATCTTACTGGCTGGGAATTCTGGGCATTATAGTCTCAAATCTAAAAGTATATGATTGAGAAAACTTGTTTAAATTGTGAAGAAAAAGGTTTATACAAGTAAAGATTACAATTTTAAAAACTTTAGAAGAATAGTGAGCGTAGAGTTAAAAGCGTGAATGATGACAGAATGCTGCCCCCTATATACTCTTGCAATATCATATATTGGGCTGAGCCATAACATGGTTTGTTTGGTTTTGACAGAAAGTTGTGCAACCCCAGCTGTTTTTAAATCATAATTGTTAGGCTTAATATATAGTAACCAATCAATTGTGACTTATTGATCATAGTTAAAACCTACTGTGATGGAGGACTTGAGTGAGGAGATCCAAGGTAATGGGGAGAAGAATCTCAAGCATCTCCTCAGCCCGCAGCCTGACTGTGTGAAAGCTAAGAGGATGAGACTGGCACAACCCTAAGGAATTTGTAGTGTTTAGTTGCAGATGTTGGGAGTTAGAGTTAGTCTGGTGAGATTCTGTCTAGCAGGTGTAAGCTAATAAAGTAACTGAGCAATTTCAGAACTGCCCCATGGAATTTTTTGGGCTGAACCTGACACCTACCTTAGTGTGATGAAACAATTCATCAAATACTTCCCTAAATAGTGGTCTCCAAGTACATTGGATCATCCTGGCTACTATACAGGGTGGAAATTGTACTGTTGAAAGGCATCAGTTTGAGGAAAATGTTGAACAGTATAATGCATATAAAACAATACATCTATAAAGAACAGTATTATGTTAATTTTTTAATGAATCCATGTATGCAACTCAATTTTCATCTTTTATTCTAACATATATTTAAACTTTCTCCCCAGATTTCTTCTTTATATAGCTCTGGTAAATTTTTCCATATTACACAGAACTGATCCCATTTTCTTTGTTTTTCAGGCTATTATTAGTGGAGACGCAATTATCCCCCTGTTTGGCAGTGGCACCTGTGGCATAGCACCAAAAGCAGGGTCAGTTCTTGCTGGTGTCTATATGATCTTAATGACCAACATGTATCTTATCTTTGAGTTTAGACATCTAAGCCTTGTACCAATTAACGTGGCAACGACTGAAACAAAAGGCATAACATGGATTATTCCATATTGCTATTACACAGCAATAGTTTTGGCTTTTATAACTTATCCTATATGTTTCTATTATTTATACTGTATCTACAAGAGAATAATTGTAGGTCTATATATGTACTTTGTCTGGATAATATTTTATGATATGGCCAACTTAATCATTCTAGTCTTGACTAACAAGGCTGCATACCAATCTACATTTTCGGTCAGTCCTTTAGAATGGTTTGGATTGGCCAGTAGGATTCCTGTGGACTGTTTTTGGCTTTCTTTTGTTATAACATATGCTAACTTGCTTGTTGAAGGAAGAAGTATAGGGAGGATGTCATTAAAGCCAAGGCGGATATCAAGGCATGTTGCAGAACCCCCTAAGTTTAGATTGGGTATGAGTGCTAAGAGAGTTCAGTGGTAGCTATCAAACTACTGTTCTATGCAATTATGAACACCAGGCCTGCACAATACCTAGCATATCAAAAATGCATATTTAATATATTTCTGTCTATTAGCTGTTTGATACCTTTGCTTATCCAGAATAAAATTAGGGTGATTGTCAGGAACCTTGCAGGCCATGATAAATGGTAACTTCAGGACCAATATATGTATTTATGAATCCTAAGTAATTTCACATAGTTTTACTTCACTATCTTATTGGATTGACCTAAATGTCTTTAATAAAGATAAATTTCATAACTATTGTATTTGGTACTCTGGACTTGTTTACACCATTGAGGGTAAGGAGTTGATTGGGGCAGGATCACTATTCTGTTTCCAGCCTATAGTCATAATAGATATGCCTCTGAAAAATCAGGAAGAGTTATTTGAGTGGAGAAAAAAACCTCTAATAACATGTAAAGCATTTGGATGTATACATATATTGAAAAAACAATGGGAATATTTTACTGCTAAATGCTTAATTTAGATAAACTAATTTGCTTTTTTAGGCCAAATTCACATATTATTACATTTTTTTATAATAAAGTTAATATATGGGTTATTTGTAGAAGAGATGTAACTAGTAGGATTAGGTATGCAATCCTTTGGAATCTTTTCTTAACAATTATGTTTTTCCTTTATCAGGCTGTACTAAAAATGTGGTAAATATAATTTACAGTACAACTGGGCAACCCTTGGCTTCCTACAATTTTGAACTTCAGTTCTTGGCATGGACAGTGAACAGGAAGGAAGGGCTAAATACATTCATTCTCAAAATTATTCTTTTTTCTGTAAAAATGTTTTCCCTGTTGCTGAATTAATTATTTTCAGGAAACACAGAAATGTGAACCCATGAAAGTGCAGTGTGGCTTTATGCTAGACAGATAGTATATAGAAAAGGTTTTGTACTTCAATAGATCACTGAGAAAAGTATGAATGTGAAAAAAGAAAGGTTATTATACATTTATTGATTTAGAAAAGCATATAAGAATGAATAGGTTTTAATTATAGAATGTGTTATGTGGAGTATAGAATTGGCATTTGGTTGCCAATGTGGTAAGAGTAATATGTGATGAACATATGTGAGGATGAATGCTTAGCAAATGATTCATTACTGAGCAGGGAGTAAGACAAGGATGTGTGATGTTTAATATTTTGATGGGTAAGTGTACAAGGAATGTTTGTGGTGAGCTTAGAAGTGTATGGGTCAGAAATGTGAATATATTTGTACTTTTGTTACCTATGATGCTATGTTGTTGGGTGAGAGCATGTATGGTAATCCAACTCACATTGGAGGGCGCATACTTGGTCTGGATTTTACAGATCTTATTTCACACCAATCTTGAGTTTACCAGAAGCAGCTGAAGAACAAAGTGTCTGCTAATTAAGCCAGACAGGTCCAGGTCTAGGGCAGCTGACTTAGAAGAAGTGTCTTGAACTAATAAGTGGGTCCCCCTTCTCCTGGAGTGGCCTATCAAGTGCCCACCACAATATCTTCTACTGCCCATCACAAGCCCCACTCAAACCAACCCAGAGGTAATTGGTCCCTTCCTCTTATTCTCCCCACATTTCCACATTTCTTAGCACCTAGTAGTCCTCTTCAGCACAGATGCCCATGCCACTTCAGTCCACCTCTTCTATCCCATTCTGAGCCAATTTTGGGGGGGGTTATTACTTTTTCCCCAGTGTTTAGCAGAACATTGCTTACCTTGAAAAGGAATAGCTGTTGAGTATGTATAAATGTGTGTATGTATGACATGGTTGCCATGTAATCATAGCAACAGATGACAGGGTAAATTGTATTCCAGTCTAGTTAGCACCTGATATTTCTACTATTTATAAATATAAGCGTTTATCTGAAGTATTTGTGTTTGCTTCTACTATTTAATGCTGTGAAATAGTAAAACAGCCTTCCTGTATTCTGATTTCTGATTTTCTTGAATAGGAACTTCAGTGAAAGAATTTCAATACATTTTGAATTGCTAAGCCAAAAAGCAAAAGTGCACATACTGCCTGTGACAACATGCAGTTGGCTCTCTACTAGCCAGTCACATTTCTTTCAAACTGACAGCAGACTCTGAGAGCAAAGAGATAAGGTATTTTCTGATAAGAAAAGGAAGCTGCTGTGGCACTGGCAAGGAAGAGGAGAAAGCTGGAAACATAAAAGCAAGAAGGGGAAGAGAAGGGTTATTTATTTATTTATTTATTTATTTATTTATTTAGTATGCCTCTCATCTCTCTGGGCAGCTCACAATTAAAGTAAAACTCACAAACAATTAAAAAATAAATACCCAAATTAATTAATTAAAATTAATTAATTAAAAAGTCAGGCTATAAAAACAAACTCTATACATAAAAAACTAAAAACATTCAAGATGACAGGGGAGTAAAATCAATTACCCCACAAGCCACTTCCACTGGTGCGAGCCCCCATCCGGCCCCCAGGCCATCTGGCATAGCCAAGATTTCATGCTCTGCCTGAAGGCCATGAGAGTGGGGGAACACCGCACCTTGGGTGGTAGGTTGTTCCACAGAGTGGGCCCACAGCAGAAAAGCCCCTCTTCCTAGATCCCACCAGTCAAAGTTCCTTGACTGGTGGGGTCTGCAACATGCCCCTTCTGCTGGACCAAGTGGGGTGGGCTGAGATCAGGGGCAAGACAGCTCCTCAGATAACCTGCTCCTGTGCCATGAAGGGCTTTAAAGGTGATACCAATACCTTGAATTGGACCTGGAAGCAAACCGGCAACCAGTGCAGCTCGCATAACTGGTGTTGTATGGGCTTCCCGGGGGCATTCAGAACTGTCTGTGCTGCTGCATTCTGCACCAGCTGTAGCCTCTGGATACTCTTCAGGGGTAGCCCCATCTAGAGCACATTGCAGTAATCCAACCGGGAGGTGACCAGGGCATGACTGACTGTGCAGAGGGCCTCCTGATCAAGGAAGGGGTGTAATTGATGCACAACACGAAGTTGCACAAAGGCCCTCCTAGCCACAACTGCCACCTGTTCTTTGAACAGGAGTCGTGAGTCCAGGAGGACCCCCAGATTACTCACTGGGTCTGTCTGGGGTAGTGTGACCCCATCAAGGAGCAAAGATGATAAACTCCTAGATCTTGAGGCTCCCTGTACCCTGTATTCCATCTTATCAGGGTTCAGTTGAAGCCTGTTGTCCCCCATCCAGGCCCCTACAGCCTCCAGGCACCGCAAGAGGTTAGCCACAGCATCACTTAGGTCACCTGGGATGGAGATGTATAATTCAGTATCATCAGCATACTGATGATACCTCATCCCATGGTGCTGGATGATCTCACCCAATGGTTTCATGTAGATGTTAAGAGCGGCAAGAGCACCGACTCCTGAG